TATCTAATACAAGGTCCATATAAAGTTTTTCCCAGTGTGTCTAATAATGCCGTTTACACCTTCTGTTGTTTGTTTTTATCCAAGCACCACAACTGCTTTTAGTTACTATATCTTTTATTTTTAAAATCTGGACTAGCTCCCTTTTCGTTTTTTTCTTTCTATGTCAGAGATGCTTTTGAAGTATCTATGTCACCTTTACAGAATGTTCATCAAGTGGCTTTTGTTAGATTGTTTCCTCAAATTTGACAGTATTAAAGAAACACTGCCTCCGTGATATTGTCTGAACCAGTGCATCACATCAAGACACATGATTGACACAATAATGCTGTGTGCCACTCGGTGCATCACAGCAGGACACATGAGGCACATATGTGCTGCCATGCACTCCTCAGTGCATTACTGCAGGGCATGTGGGCAGGGCCAGGTTTTGTCACAGTCCCAGCAGGTCTCTCTGCCCTCTAGACAGTGGTTGGATGGGCGCTGGACACCTGCTCCGTGCAGCCTGGGCAGCAGCTGGAGATGATGCGGGGAGGGCTGCTCAGCTGGGCCTGGAAGGTGAGGAAGACAGGGCTGGGCTGGCCACCTTGTGGAGATAGCAGGACATCTTGAGGGAGAGTCAAGCCAGGGATGCAAAGCGTGAGGAGAAACTGCAGTGCCGTGCACGGCCTCAGCTCCCTTTCTGAGGCCCCGTTGATGTGAGTGCTTTCAACAAGCCCTCGAGGGAATCTCTGCTGCTTGCAGCCAAAAAGTACTGACCACCGGAAGAGCCAGCCCCTGCAAGGGGACAGAGGCATGGCGGCCATCAGGAGGCAGGCAAACCCCAGAGAAGGAGGCCATGGACGTGGCAGTGGACGACCGATGTGCGATCTCAGCGCCACAGGTTACTGGTTTTGTGGCAAGATGTGGACCTGCTGACAGCTTGGCTTCCTCGTCTGCAGAGTGTGACAGTGACATTCTCTGCCTCATTAGACAGATGTTAGGATGCAGTGAGGCGGGTGCTCAGCCCCATTCTGGACACGTAGCATCGATGAACACCAGCTCTTACTGGATGGTTTCCTTATGCTGGGAGGAAAGAAACGATCTGGATTTCGTCTGTGTAGAAGTCCAGCTATCTGCATGTGTGTTCAGAGGACATTCTCGTATCTCAGGAGTGAAACCAAAGCATCCCTGTACATCTTTCCCCCACCCCCACTCATAGCCTCGGATTCTCTGCACAGCTTTAGGTAAAGGAGCTCATGGGGAATCGGATGCCTGGCCCCGAGTCCTCACTCTGGGGCCCGAGCTTAGAGTAACTTCAGGTTCAGCTGAGAAGGCCTCTGAACTGTGACACCGCGCCGTGGCCGCCTGCCCTTTGCCCTTCTCGAGGCCGGTGCTGGCCTGGAGGAGGGCTGGCAGCAGAAATGCAGCTGACCAGGTTGCATTTTCCGTACGGCCGACTCAAGGGGATACCCGTGGAGACTCATTTCTCGTTTCAGTTTTCAATGATTTGGTGGAGAAGCTCCTCTGGTGAATGGACTCGGGATTTCTTGGCGCTGCGCTGCGGGTCCACAGTGTGGCTTTCGACCCGTGCTGCGCTGGTACTTGCACTTCTCTGGCAGGGCACGGGGTGGCGCTCCCGGGTAAGGCAGCGGCGGGGGGAGCCGTGAGCGAGGCGCTGCCTCTTCCGCTGAAGCCGGATCCAAGGCCACCATGACGGGGACCCGCCATCCAGGTAAGACGTGTTCTTTCCTTATTCCTTGGCGAATCGATGGGGACCAGGCTTCCCCAGGAGGTGAAGTGAGGAACAGGGACCGCGGGGCTCGCCTGACCAGTGGGGTCTCCATCCTTTTCTGTGCTGACAAAAGACAAGAACAGACATCGCCTGAAATCTTCCCGCCTCCGTGAGCGAACCTGCGTCTGGGAACAAGCTGCAGAGAAGTGATCGCTGAGTGAAGAAGGAGGTGCCGGGCCGCATTAATCATACCTAGGGAGGCAATGCCGGGAAGGTTCTTTGTTTAAAGAAACACTCATTTTTTTTAATTAATTAATTATTTTTTTTATTTAAGTTCTAGGGTACATGTGCACAACGTGCAGCTTTGTTACATATGTACACATGTGCCATGTTGGTGTGCTGCACCCGTTAACTCGTCATTTACAATAGGTATCTCTCCTAATGCTCTCCCTCCCCCATCCCCCCACCCCACAACAGGCCCCGGTGTGTGATGTTCCCCTTCCTGTGTCCATGGTTCAATTCCCACCTATGAGTGAGAACATGGGACGTGCGCTGTTTGGTTTTCTGTTCCTGGGGTAGTTTGCTGAGTTGAAAGAGCACTTGGTGCGGACTTGCTGTGGCCATCGCCTTCAACAGCTCATCTGTAGGAGGTGCAGGCTGAATTCACACCTGGGTGTCATCCCTGTCTGCCTGCCCGCAGAGGAGACAGGGGAGGCCCTCCCACCCCACGGCTTTTACGGGACGTTCTTCCAGTCGGCTAGAGGAGTGTGGTTTGCTTTATAGCCACACCAAGTCATTTTAATAAAACTCAATTAACTGTGTTGCCTTGCAGGCTCCGAGTGTTACAGGCAGACCCGAGTCCGAGTCTTCCTACCATTCATTGTCCCCTCCTGGATTTCCTAGGGACCCCAGATACGATGGCATCAATGTCAGTTAACTTGGCACTGTTTAAAATAGATCTATGATCAAATCTTAAGTTTTTCCAAATAAGACCCTGGATGAATGCAGGGAGGTCATTTGATTACTTTAAAATAAGAGTATTTTATGTTAAGTTTGAAAAAGCCAGTCATCAAACTAAGCCCTGTACCAATGAATATAGTTTGTGAAGCCAGCAGCCCAGGCTTATTATTATAAATATCAAACACCACCATTATGAGTAAGCTCATTTATTTTCAAAGCACTTTGCAATCATTAACTGTTCACGTCTGTGAATATCCCCGAGACAGTATTATTAACTCCATTTGAAACGAAGAAAGCTAAGGCACAGAAAACCTGTAATTCATTGCCCTGAGGGGAAAAGGAGACACCAGGAACACTGGCTGTCCTTTCACTGCATCTTCTGTTTGGTAGAGATCCGGGACATCCGGAACATCCACACTCTCTCTCCCACTCATGGCCATGCCACCATCTAGTGCCGCATTGACATTTCCTCTCAATCTCAGGATAATCACATCGATGTAGCACTTGGCAGGTTTGTTATCTCAAAGTCTATTATCTCAAAAATTAATCCTCATAGCAACCTTAGAAAGAGGCAATATTAGCCTCATTGCATAGGAAAATGAAGGATCAGTGAGAAAGTGACAGGTCTGTCACTGGTGATGGAGGACAGGGCCATTGCGGCGAGTCAGGCCTCAGCTGCAAGTCTGACTTTATGCCATTGCCCCCATCTGTGGGGTCCAGGAGGCTGTTGTCTAAGCAGAAGGCATGGCCCATCAGGGGCCGTGGGTGGTGAGCACAGAATTGAGTCATCTGCCTGCCTTCCCACCCACCTGTGTGTGTTGTTTGTTTGATTTAAGTCCTGTGAGCGTAGTTTAGGACCTTGTCCCTTCCCACAGCATAGCACAGAACATTGGGCAAGTCCAGACCATGACTAAATCCACTTTAAAAACCCCACCCACCGAGACAGGCAGATTCTCTCCCTCTCCACTTGAGATATGATGTTGCCCGAAATGGTCCAGCAGTCGCGGAGTCTCAGGGGGTCTCTCTGCCTTAGTTGGTGCATTCCAGTGCTACTGGGTCTATATTTCCAGGTCTTGCTTTTATCTTTTTATTTTTTTTAAGTAATTGATAATTCCAATCTCTCTGGCCTGCATGAAATTTATAAAATAAATGGACATAATAGGAAATAAATATTTTATGGAGCCACAGCTCTGTGCGAGACGTTCTGCTAGGGAGGCTGAGGGTCCCACAGCTTCCAAGGACCGGTCCTGGCCTAATGGAGCTCACAACAGATTGAGAAGGGAGGACGGACACCGCTGACACAGCCCATGCTGCCCAGTGCCGGGTGCAGGAGGGGCAGTGGATGCAGGGGACTGTGGGGAGGGTGTGCTGGGCCTGGGCCCTGGCTCCCTTTGGGAGCCTCTAGGCCGCTCTGCTGTCTTCCTCCGTGCGTGGCCTGGGCCACATTGTGTGCTATGGAGTTGTTGGATTAGACCTGGATGCTGCAACCCAAGGAGAGAGAGGAGGACAGAGCCCGGGAGAAGAAGAGCACTCGGCAGCCTGACCCCTAAAAACCAAACACAACAGAAACCAAGCCAATGGCAATGGTTGAGAAGAACCACGCCAGCGTGTAGGGGAGGCCAGGGTGTTGCCCTGGGCATCCAAGGTGGAGGGACTCGAGGAAAGGAATGACCAGAAACAGCTGGGGAGGCCCGGAAGGCTGAACTGTCTCAGGGGACCCAGGGGACTGACAGGGGAGTGAATCGTCAGAGGTGGTCAGAGCCACAGATTCCTGGGGAACATGTGCTGTGTCTCAGGATGGAGAAAAGGTAGGCTGAGGTCAGGATGGTCGGTGCAGGCCGGTGCACGAAGGCATCTGGAGGAAGAGAAACTTTATAGCCCATGTCCTGGAGGGGCCACAGACAGGAGGCACTGGGTGCTGGAAACCACAAGCTGCTCCTTTTCATTGATGAAGAGGGGAGTGGGGAACATAGGGCCAATTTCAGAGTCTACTGTAAAGAGGAAAGATTTACCTGACATGGCATTGCCGCGTGGTCTGGGCAAAGCTAGGGGAGCTGGTTTTCGAGGAGTGAAGAGATAGGGTGGGGAGGGGGAGATCTGGACATGGGTTTGGGAAACATGAGGGGATCCAACTGCGAGAGACCAGAGGCACCCTCAGGACAGTGGAGTCCAGTTCTTTTCTCTGCAAATAAATCTCACTTTTCTACATGTCAACACATGAGGCGGCTCAGCCCAGTTTCTTGTTCTTTCTCTAAGAAGGTTTGGCCTTCCATTGCCTTTAGATGGGAGAAAAGCTAATGGGGCTCACGTCCATGGAGGGGAGTTCAGGATGAGGCTGGTGGTTCAGGCATCCTATGAGTCCGAGGGGAGGCCGCTGGCCTTGTGGTGCTTACAGAGACATGCAGCGGCTGTGATCCACATTGGGGGTGAGAAACAAGATGTGAGGCTGCAGACACCTGAGAGGCACTGTGGGGGCAGCACCCCACAGGCAGAGGCAAACGGTGGGCATGCAGTTTCCCTTCCCATCTGGTGTCCACTGGCAGCTGGCAACCCCATGCGGAGACCTTTGGTGCCTGCGCTATCCTCACCCCCTTTTACCCAGGGCCCCTGATGTGCTCGGCTCTGCCTGGCACGAATCCCAACAACTCTCCCTGCCTCCTGCTTGTGCGAAATGAGCAAATGTGAAATTGCCCAGGATTGAAGAGCTCAGGACCTTGAATTCCAAGAGCCAGGGAGAAATACTCTGTTGTTCTTTAGACCTGACAAGCCAAATCTGTTAACAGCAAGCCTTTATTCCCAAGACAACCCTTCCTTTTGATGGTCCTAAGGTGTTGCCACCTAATTTCATGACTTTTGCCACTGCAAAGGCTTCCCAAGTTCGTACTGGGGCCACGCCTCTCAAAGCGGATGCACGAAGGAGTCCAGATTCTCCTCTCCAGACACTCGGGCGGTGCATCGGAAGTGAATCTGAGATTAAACCCGTGTATCTTAGCTCCTCAGTGCTCCCTTTCATCATTTCTTGAACATACGTAGTAGCATGTCCTGGTCTTCTTGGCAATCTCCTTAGGGATGTAGGGGAAAGGCAGTTTTCATATCAACTTTCTTTATGTTGCCATGAATTAGCTGCTTGCTGACTAAACTTCTCAGACAAAAATCACACACTTCCCGAGTATTCACCCTTTCACACCACAGTCATCTGCTCTAGTATTTGCACACAGTGACATGATTATCAAAACTGCAGTTCAACTAAACGCTCCAAGTGCAGGTGTAGGTCTGTCCTCAAGGTGCTGGTTGAAGCAGATGAGTGGAACAGTTTCAGGTCCCTGCTGTTCCTGGGTGTCAGCGTCAGCTCCGTTCAGGGGTGACAGACAGCAAGGCCCCAGCCAGGAGAGGTCAAGGGGATGGGAGTGAGAGGGAGAGCTCAGAGGTGGGGCAGGAGCCCCAGGACGGGGGATTCCAGGGCCTTGGCAGGAGGCCACCTCAGGACCAGGCAGGCTCCCCAAGCCAGGGGTTCTTTCTCTCCCAAGAGCAGGACTGAAAGGAGGCTTGGGAGTCAGGGGCGAGGACGGATGGTGGCAGGTGCAGGGGGCGAAGGGGCCCTGCCTGGGATAAGATGGCAATGGAGCTCAAGGAAATAGAAGCAGCCACATTGCCACAGTGGCCACAGTGCAGGAGCAGGGGCTGCTGGGGAGCTGGGCCCGAGGCTTTATCTACACTGTCTCACTGTAAGTCCGCTCCCAGCTTGGCACCATCATCTGACTCCACACATTGCCAAAGCCCTGCCAGGCAGGTGCTTGCAAAGGCTACAGAGCCGTTGAGTGCGTGCAGGAGGGAAGCACACCAGGAATTCGGCCCTGGTCTGAGGCAGCAGGGGACAGCTGACTGTGGTCAGCAGGGCCTGAACCCTGGCTCTGCAGCCCGCGAGCCACCCTGAGGGTACAGAAATCTGAGTACCTGGGGCCATGTGCAGAGTGTGGCCATGTCGCAGCTGTGGCTTCAGCATTCAGAGCCTCTGCCTCCACTGGGGATTAATGCAGGTTTCCAACATCTCTGTTTGGTCAGTGCTGATCTTTTTCCTAACTGGCGATTTACTGGCTCCAGGAGAGTACTGCGCAGGCTGCAAATGTCTGCATTAAAACAGCTCTGCTGGGCTACGACAGGACAGAAGCAGACAGCAGGTAGAGGAGACACACTTTCCTATCCAGCAGAACCTGTGGCAAGCTCCACAGCACTCTCCAGTCTTGCTTCCGGGAAGGTGGTTAATTCCATCTGGTCAGTATTTCCACACCGTGCGAGCCTCCACTTCCCTCTACGTGTTCTCTGAGACCCACCCTCCTGGGCTTGCCACTTAAATGAGTACAGAATTGTCTCATCACCCTTTTACTTGCAGAACCTGGCCTTCGTGTTGTGGGGATGATTAGGAAAGAAAGTTGCTTCAGGAAATGGCCAGAAAGGGGTTCCACAGAACTGGCTTATGAAATAGTTTTGCAGAATTTGTACTTAGTAAGCTGGAAACAAAGGCAAAAGAAAAAAAAATAGAAAATCTTATTGTAGAAAATACACTTTGCAGCATTTGAAAAGGCTGTTCTGTTTAAATTAACCCATTAATAAATACAAACCACTTAACATTTGCTTTTTAATTTTTGTATCTTTTTGTAGAGATGGGGTTTCACCATGTTGCCCAGGCTGGTGTCCAGCGCTTGGGTTCTAGTGATGCACCCGCCTCAGCCTCCCAAAGTGCTGGAGTTTCAGGGATGAGCCTTCATGCCTGGCTTGGTTTGCTCGCTTCTGAGAGGGCCAAGAGAAAAGCTCCTGCTGGCTGCAGGGTGGTCATTGTGGGCCAGCTCCCCTCTAGGCTTCGTTCCAGGCATGCTACAGGTGCCATTCCCTAATCTTTTCAATAATTCTGCAATGTAGGCATTGGAATCCCCGAGTTTTACAGTTTTGAATTTTTTTTTTTTTTTTTTTTTGAGATGGGGTCTCACTCTGTCACCCAGGCTGGAGTGTGGTAACGTCATCTCGGTTCACCTCCACTTCCAGGGCTCATGCGATCCTCCTATCTCAGCCTCCTGAGTAGCTGGGACTACAGGCATGCACCACGGCATTTAGTTAACTTTATGTATTTCTTGTAGAGATGGGGTTTCATCATGCTGCCCAGGCTGGTCTTGAATTTCTGGGTTCACGTGATCTGCCCTCCTTGGCCTCCCAAAGTGCTGGGATTACAAATGTGAGCCACCGTGCCTGGCTAGTTTTGATTAAAAAAATAAAAATAAAAAAATTACAGTGAGGCCGGGCAAGGTGGCTCATGCCTGAAATCCCAGCATTTTGGGTGGCTGAGGGGGAAGGATCACTTGAGGTCAAGAGTTTGAAACCAGCCTGGCCAACATGGTGAAACCCTGTCTCTACTAAAAATACAAAAATTAGCCAGGCACGGTGTCTGGCACACACCCGTAATCCCAGCTACTCAGGGGGCTGAGGCACGAGAATCGCTTGAACCTGGTAGGCGGAGGTTGCAGTGAGCTGAGATAGTGCCACTGCACTCTGGCTTGGGCAATGGAGTGAGAATCTGTCTCAAAAAAAAAAAGAAAAAAAAGAAAAGAAAAGAAAAAGAAAAAGTATAGAAACCTTATTTGCTCAACGTTGCATAGCAGCCACATTCAACCCTAACTGACTCTAGGAATCCAGGCCCCCCATAAAGCTGTATGCCACTCCCTTTAATTTCTAGGAAGACACGCAGTTGAGCCGTGCGTACAATCAGTCAAATTTGTTCAAGGCTGCACTTTGCTAGACAGAACCACAGTTTGTACGGGTTAGTGATTGCTTTGTAATGAAGTATGCCAGAGCATTGTGGCTTAAAATAACAAGAAACACTTATTCTGTCTCAAAGCCTCAAGGGGTTAGGAATTTGAGAGCTTTAGCTGTGTGGCTCCAGTCCGTGGTGTTTCCTGTAGTCAGAGGTTGGCTGGGGTTGCTGTCATCTAATGGCTTGACTGGGGCTGGAGGGTCTAAGCCCCCTCACTTGGCTGGTGAGTTAGTGCTGGGTTGTAGTGTGGCTGTGTCTTCACAGCCACATGGGAGCTTGTTTCCCCCAAACTTAGCAACTTAACAGAACAAGCCAGAAGCTGTAATGTCTTTTATGATCTGGCCTTAGGAACCATACACCATCATTTCTGCAATGTCCTAGTGGTTCCCTGAGTTTACCTTATTTGTTTTGGGAGGGGAGGGTCCCAGTGTGTGAATACCAGGGGTATGACTCACTGGGCACCACTGTGGAGGCTGGCACCATGACAGTCCCATGTATTGAGGGTCATCGCTCACTATACAAGGTGAGGTCATCATAAAAATGGCTGTTTATTTATTTTTAATATTTATTTATTTATTTATTTTGAGACAGAGTTTCACTCTTGTTGACCAAGCTGGAGTGCAATGGCGTGATCTTGACTCACTGCAACCTCTGCCTCCCAGGCTCAAACAATCCTCCTGCCTCAGCTTCCCTAGTTGCTGGGATTACAGGCACTCACCACCACGCGCAGCTAATACTTTGCATTTTTAGTAGAAACGGGGTTTCACCATGTTAGCCAGGCTGGTCTCAAACTCCTGACCTCAGGTGATCCCCCACCTTGGCCTCCCTAAGTGCTGGGATTACAGGCATGAGCCACCGCACTCAGCCAAAACAGCTGATATTTATTGAGCACTTACTATATACTGTGCTGAGTATTAGCTAATTTAATCCTCCCCACAGCCCCGTGTCAGGTTGCTGGCATCCTCTGTATTTGACAGAGAAGGAAGCTGAGATCTAGAGTGAATAGATAACTTGCTCAAGGTTATGTACTCCTGAAGAGTAGAGCTGGAATTCAAACCCAGGCCTTCTGGCTCCAGAGCTCGGATCCGAACCACGAAGTTCTTCCAGCATTAGAATGTCAGCTCCCAGACAGTCTTGAGGGGCACGGAATTTAGTAGTTTTTGCACCTTTTTTTTTTTGAGACAGGATCTAGCTCTGTTCCCCAGACTGGAGTGCAGTGGCACAAACATGGCTCAGTGTAGTCTCAACCTCCCAGGCTCAAGAGATCCTCCTGCCTCAGCCTCTGGAGTAACTAGGCGTACAGGCACGCACTGTTATGCCTGGCTGATCTTTCTAATTTTTAGTAGAGATAAGGTCTCACTATGTTGCCCAGGCTGGTTTCCAACTTCTGAGCTCAAGCAATTCTCTTGCCTCAGTCTCTGAAAACTCTGGAATTACAGGTGTGAGCCACTCCATCTGGCCATTTTTGCACTTTCTCCACAGATTTCTTTCCCCATTATAAATCTTTGGAAAAACCCAGTATATAAAGCAGAAATGCACAGTGGCTCTGATTAAGGTAGGGGACGATGGCCGGGCGCGGTGGCTCACGCTTGTAATCCCAGCACTTCAGGAGGCTGAGGCAGGTGGATCACTGGAGGTTAGGAGTTTCAGAACAGCCTGGCCAACATGGCAAAACCCCGTCTCAACTAAAAATACAAAAACTAGCTGGGAATGGTGGCGAGTGCCTGTAATCCCAGCTATTTGGAAGGCTGAGGCAAGAAAATGGCTTGAATTCGGGAAGCAGAGGTTGCAGTGAGCCGAGATTGTGCCACTGCACTCCAGCCTGGGAGACAGAATGAGACCTTGTCTTAAAAAAAAAAAAAAAAAAAAAAAAAAAAAAAAGGCGAAGGAGGATGTCCAATCCTTACTTGCAGGGGCACAAGGCCCTCAGTGGAATCCCCGAGGCAAGGTGTCTCCATGAAGTCCCTAGGGTGACAAGGAGCCTGGTTTGAAGACCACTGCCCTGGTCACTTACAGATCGGGATTCTGAGGTCCAAGGGGTCCTGGCTGGATAGAGGAACCCAGCCCCGCTAACCTGTAGGCAGGCACGATCAGCCCAGGGCACGGTTCTGGGGGCACTGGCCCTTCCCTCTGTGCAGGGGCTGTGACCGCCGGCTTCTCTGCCGCCCTAGGATGGTGGAACACTGTCTACACATGTTCGACCGGATAGTCATCTATTTCTTCATAGCGGCTTCCTACGCACCCTGGTGAGTACTGTCCCACCGCTCAGCAAACGCTTGGCAGCCTTTCTTTTCATTGTTTGAATTTATTTTTCTATATGGCTGGGTAATATGTTGACTTGGCACAGAGGAGTTAGGTGAACAGCTTTCTGCCACACTTTTCTCCTTCCTGGAAGCAGCTGCTTATACCCACTTTCTTGCGTGTCCTTCTTGAGTTATTTTATGCAGAAAAAGCAAATATATACATCATTTTTTTCCCCTGAGAATTCTGAGACAGAATCTCACTCTGTCACCCAGGCTAGAGCACAGTAGCGAGATCTTGGTTCACTGTAACCTCTGCCACGCCCAGCTAATTATTGTATTTTTGGTAGAGACGGTGTTTCACCATGTTGGCCAGGCTGGTCTTGAACTCGTAACCTCCAGTGATCTGCCCACCTCGGCCTCCCAGAGTGTTTGGATTATAGGTGTGAGCCACCACACCCATCCAGAAAAGCAAATATTAATATGTACATATGTATGCATGTGTCTATATATGTGCACATATATATAAATATGTGTAATAGACATGCATACACATGCATATACATACATATATACTTATATTTATATTTACTTAATATTTAATTTATTTAATATAGCTTTTAAATTAATTTTTTTTTTTTTTTTAGAGACAGGGTCTTGCTCTATTGCCTATGCTGGAGTGCAGTGTTGTGATCATAATTCACTGCAGCCTCCAGCTCCTGGGCTCAAGTGATCCTCCCGCCTCAGCCTCCCAAGTAGCTGTGACTACAGGTGCAAGCCACCATGCTTGGCTAATGTTTTTATTTTTGTAGAGATGGGTCTCATTATGTAGCCCAGACTGGTCCTGAACTCCTGGCCTCAGGCCATCCTCCCGCCTCAGCCTCCCAAATTGTTGGGAGTACAGGCATGAGCCACTGCAGTGGCCACATTTTATAAGTATATATTTATTTTGTTTTTATTTTTTGTTTTGTTTATGTTTTTTGAGATGGAGTCTTGTTCTCTTGCCCAGAATTTTCACCATAAAATTCACTTGGATTCTGAAGTTAAGATAAATTATGTAAAGCACAAGGAAATTGGATTTTCAGCCGGGCGTAGTGGCGTGATCTCGACTCAATGCAACCTCCACCTCCTGGTTTCAAACGATTCTCCTGCCTCAGCCCCCTGAGTAGCTGGGACTACAGGCATGTGCCACCACACCCCGCTAATTTTTGTATTTTTAGTAGAGACGGGGTTTCACCATGTCAGCCAGGGTGGTCTCAAACTTCTGACCTCAGGTGATCCGCCTGCCTCGGCTTCCCAAAGTGCTGGGATCACAGGTGTGAGCCCCTGCGCCCAGCCTGAGTCTCTCTTCTTTACCTTTACTCCGGCTGTGATTGACTGGGCACTGCCCTGTGCCAGGCCCTGTGCTGGTATCTGAGCATATTGTCACAAACAGAACCCCCAGCTCCCTCTCTTTATGGGGGAAAAAGAAACAAACCAAAAACCAAATAAATACTGAAGATTTTACATAATCAGGGAGAATACAGACATTTTCAAAAAGCCAAAATTAGAGCAATCAGAGAGAAGCTGATGGAAATGAAAGAAAGAGACAAATTCTTCAGGCACTGAGACTGAAAAAATAAAGTATTTGCAAAGTGAAAAAAACAAGCTGGCTTCTGAATGTGGCCACAGCACCATTTAATGCTGACACACAGTGGAGACACTTCTAATCATTTCCCAAAGATAGACTTTGGAATAAACTATCAAATGGGGTTGTCATGCAGCCATAAAAACAATAGGCACCATTGTCACACGTGAAAGAAGTCCAAGAATCCCATATCCATGAATAGTGTTTGAAAGAAACTAGTTTGTGATGGCGTGTGCCTGTGTTCCCAGCTACTCAGGAGGCTGAGACAGGAGGATGGCTTGAGCCCAGGAAATCGAGGCTGCCGTGAGCTATGATTGTGCCACCACACTCCAGCCTGGGAGAGTGAGCCCTGTCTCTAAAGAAACAAACAAACAAGAACCCGAAACATGTAATTTTAAAAATCCAACTTTTTTTTTTTCCCCCCTAGATGGAGTTTCACTCTCATAGCCCAGGCTGGAACTCAATGGTGTGATCTTGGCTCAGTGCAAACTCTGCCTCGCGGATTCAAGCAATTCTCCTGCCTCAGCTTCCCAAGTAGCTGGAATTACAGGCTTCCGCCACCACACCCAACTAATTTTTGTATTTTCAGTGGAGATGGGGTTTCACCATTTGACCAGGCTGGTCTTGAACTCCTGACCACAGGTGATCCACCTGCCTTGGCCTCCCAAAGTGCTGAGATTACAGGCATGAGACACTGCGCCCGGCTGAAAAGTCAATTTTCTTGTGCTACATAATCTATCTTAACTTCAGAATCCAGTGAATTTTATGGTGAAAAAACATTTGTTTGAATTTCAGCAAAATTTTTAAGTGTCCATTTTCTTCTTTTAAAGTTAAAATTAAATGTAATACTTCTAATTAAAAATGATGTGCATAACTTAATTCTCACCCTTTCTCTTTTCCCTTCATCCCATCCTATCCTTCTACCTGGTGGCCTATTTTTAGGTCTACTTGGAAGGATATCTCGAATGATGTTCACTGATGGTTCTTTTAGGTAATGAGACGGGTTATTTTTTACTCTTAAACTTTTCAGTGTTACTTAACTTCTTTATAATGACAGACTCCATGCAGGTCACTTTTTGTGGCAGAAGTTGTACGTAACACATTCTCATTTTAGAAATTCATTCCAGGCCAGGTGCGGTGGCCCATGCCTGTAATCCCAGCACTTTGGGAGGGCGAGGCGGGCAGATCACCTGAGGTCAGGAGTTCGAGACCAGCCTGGCCAACATGATGAAACCCCGTCTCTACTAAAAATACAAAAATTAGCCAGGCATGGTGGTGCATCTGTAATCCCAGTTACTCTGGATGCTGAGGCAGGAGAATCACTTGAACGCGGGAGGCAGAGGTTGCAGTGAGCTGAGATCACGCCCCTGCACTCCAGCCTGGGTGACAGAGTGAGACTCCATCTCCAAAAAAAAAAAAAAAAAAAAAAAAATAGAAATTCATTCCAGAAAAAACCTAAAGGACCCTCTTCTGCAATCATCACCACTATTAATTACACCTTTCCAGACAAAACCACACGGGACGAGGTTCAGATCTTTTTCTGTGCATTGACAGTTATCTCTTTTGTTTTGTTTTTTTTTTGAGACGGAGTCTCGCTCTGTCGCCCAGGCTGGAGTGCAGTGGAGCCATCTCGGCTTACTGCAAGCTCCGCCTCCTGGGTTCACACCATTCTCCTGCCTCAGCCTCCCGAGTAGCTGGGACTACAGGCACCCACCACCATGCCTGGCTAATTTTGTTTTTGTATTTTCAGTAGAGACAGGGTTTCACTGTGTTAGCCAGGATCATCTCAATCTCCTGACCTCGTGATCCGCCCGCCTTGGCCTCCCAAGGTGCTGGGATTACAGGCGTGAGCCACCGTGCCTGGCCAACTGTTCTCTCTTTATACATACACACAATATTAGTTATCTCATTCTTGGTTCATACCCCCTACCTACCGAATACCTCACAATATAGCTTAGAGATCTATCTATGTTGGTAAAAACAGATCTTCCTCATATTTTTCATTTTTAAATTATTATTATTATTATTTATTTATTTATTTATTTATTTTTTAAAATTTATTTATTATTATTATACTTTAAGTTGTAGGGTACATGTGCATAACGTGCAGGTTTGTTACATATGTATACTTGTGCCATGTTGGTGTGCTGCACCCATCAACTTGTCATTTACATCAGGTATAACTCCCAATGCAATCCCTCCCCCCTCCCCCCTCCCCATGACAGGCCCCTGTGTGAGATGTTCCCCTTCCTGAGTCCAAGTGATCTCATTGTTCAGTTCCCACCTATGAGTGAGAACATGCGGTGTTTGGTTTTCTGTTCTTGTGATAGATTGCTAAGAATGATGGTTTCCAGCTGCATCCATGTCCCTACAAAGGACACAAACTCATCCTTTTTGATGGCTGCATAGTATTCCATGGTGTATATGTGCCACATTTTCTTAATCCAATCTGTCACTGATGGACATTTGGGTTGATTCCAAGTCTTTGCTATTGTGAATAGTGCTGCAATAAACATACGAGTGCATGTGTCTTTATAGCAGCATAATTTATAATCCTTTGGGTATATACCCAGTAATGGGATGGCTGGGTCATATGGTACATCTAGTTCTAGATCCTTGAGGAATCGCCATACTGTTTTCCATAATGGTTGAACTAGTTTACAATCCCACCAACAGTGTAAAAGTGTTCCTATTTCTCCACATCCTCTCCAGCACCTGTTGTTTCCTGACTTTTTAATGATGGCCATTCTAACTGGTGTGAGATGGTATCTCATTGTGGTTTTGATTTGCATTTCTCTGATGGCCAGTGATGATGAGTATTTTTTCATGTGTCTGTTGGCTGTATGAATGTCTTCTTTTGAGAAATGTCTGTTCATCATATCCTTTGCCCACTTTTTGATGGGGTTGTTTGTTTTTATCTTGTAAATTTGTTTGAGTTCTTTGTAGGTTCTGGATATTAGCCCTTTGTCAGATGAGTAGATTGCAAAAATTTTCTCCCATTCTGTAGGTTGCCTGTTCACTCTGATGGTAGTTTCTTTTGCTGTGCAGAAGCTCTTTAGTTTAATGAGATCCCATTTGTCAATTTTGGCTTCTGCTGCCATTGCTTTTGGTGTTTTAGACATGAAGTCTTTGCCCATGCCTATGTCCTGAATGGTACTACCTAGGTTTTCCTCTAGGATTTTTATGGTATTAGGTCTAACATTTAAGTCTCTAATCCATCTTGAATTAATTTTCGTATAAGGAGTAAGGAATGGATCCAGTTTCAGCTTTCTACTTATGGCTAGCCAATTTTCCCAGCACCATTTATTAAATAGGGAATCCTTTCCCCATTTCTTGTTTATCTCAGGTTTGTCAAAGATCAGATGGCTGTAGATGTGTG